CATTGACTAGTCATGAAGGTATAATAATGAAATAAATCATATGCTTGACCTGTGGAAATGGTACCAAGTCACTCATTGATCTTCCCAGTTTAACTGTAAGTAATTCATTGTACAATGAGAAATCTGTTAAAAAATTCAGGTTTGGACAGGGATTGAATCAGTACCTCTCTGATACTAAATTCTATAGGTAAATGCTCACTTCTTTGTTAGCTTTTCTATATTTTTCTAGATGAAACTATAACAAGTCCACATCTACTGCTTCTTCAATATTTCTGATCTTAACCTTTAACTCCTATGAACGACCAAGAGACCAAGACAGAATTTCTCCTTACAATATCAATACCATATCAAGCAGACAAGTGATGAGAATAAAGAAAAATATCATTAAGGGGATTATTAGTTGATCCAATACCAAATTCTTCAGAGTAACATCATAAGAATCCTACAGCAGAGAGTAACAGGGCTCGACACTTACGGTAGCTAACTAGCCACAGACTAGTTGAAATTCAGTTTTGGCTAGTGGTTTTCGATTTCCGCTAGCCAGTTTGGCTAGTAAACAAACTGAAATTGTCCTAACACCTAAGTTGTCACGAGCCACTTGGCTAGTAAGTTGAAAAGTTAGTGTCGAACCCTGAGTGAGGAGAATTTCTAATAAGATCCCGGGAGTGAAAGGCATAATTGTGCCTCTTTTTTCCTCAGGTTGTATAGCAAAGTACATGAATTGTGTCATCTCAGATATGATTCACAGTGCAATGAATTCAACCATTTTATGCTTTGTGGTGTGCCATTACATTGGTGGCACTGAAGTACCACAACATGTGGCTATAGTTAGGAGTGTGCATAAAGCTTTGCTGCATTATCTAAGTTACTGGGTGCCCAGCTCAGATAAGCTACAGGACAAGATTGATTTTCTAAAGGTATTCCTGATACAAGTGCCTCTGTTCTGTGTTCTTTATTACTGAATGAGTTGTCATTGTGAGAAATATGAAACTGTGCTAAGAAACAAAAAAATAATATATTTATCAAAATAAAATAGGTGACTTTGACCTTAAACAGAAATTAAATACTAGGTAGATCTGGACTCTTCCTTTTAACATAAGGCAGATTGTTATGCAAGGATCTGACCAGGAGAGCTTAGAATTCTTGTATTCTTGTGTTATGAAAGGTTACATTTTAGTTGCAAAGGAAGCATTGTATTTCACTTGCTCTACAGTAATGTCACAATCTGATTGGCCAATTTGCCATTGTTGTAAAGAGTACACATAACGCTGCTCGCGTCAGTGTCACGCAAAGGTCACGCAATGAAATGAATCGTTTTATTTGGCGTTGATTTTGTGGGGAAAAAAACAAATCAGTAGTGGTTTAGGTTGTGCCCCATGAGTCCACAACATTTTGACCACTGTCATGATAAATATCGTTGTCAGTAAGAGTACAGAACAGGCTAAATCACTGTCGATTTGTAGGCTTAAGATGTAATACATACTCAATACATGTGAGTGATCTTCATTTCTCCATTTAAAATCATTTCATATCTGTAGCTACCCCCAAAGACCAGTAACAACATCTTAAAGCAGCTACAAAGCTTCTTGAGCAGGACAACGGTGCATAATGAGCAAGGTAAGAAAAACCCTTACATTAGGCTCTTAGACTTCCACAAGTGATTTCTTATAAAAGGAATACTTTATCAAGCAGACAGGCTCTGGGGGTTAAGAAAGTTATCCACAAGTGGATGTTGTCATAACAACTTGAAATGATCCAGAATCCCTTGTAAAAGTAACACAAAGTGGTCACTTGGGAGAATCAGGGAGTGAAAAGGCGGAGTGTTTTTGGGCTCACAAGGCTGTGCTCTAGCAGTGCCTGGTGGTCCCTGGTGCCTTACTTTTGCTCTTGGGCGACTTGGAAATTTTAGTTTTTTCATACAAAGCATATGCTGGGCACCCTGGATTTCACAGTTTCAGAGCACTGGGCTCCATTCAATTTTCCTTAGAGCACAGCCTTGGCTCGTAATGCGTGGTCTTATTTTGCTCATCTAAACCCTAATAGATGATAAGTAGAAATAATGATAGGTAGTGAGATTGGCCTGCTGACAGGACAGGCAAAGTTTTTTTTTTTTTTTTTCGCTTTTTTTTTTTCGCAGATGTAAGCACAAGGCAAGAGTGAAGAATACATGCACTTTGCTCCTCATCCAAAAAATAAAAAAAAAATAACGCCTGTTCCTTAGGCTAGGTGGGATTAACCCTTTCACTCCTGAGATCTAAATATCAATTAGCCCTTTACACCCTAACATCAGTATACATATTCTCCATACTGTTCTCCATACATTTCTTAATGTGTTGACAAGGAGAATTTGCTTCTCAATCAAGAAATCTAGAACTAGTGTTTCCAGTGTCTTGTTTGAATCCTTTACCCCCCGACATCAACATGCGTATTCTCCATACTGTTCTCTATACATCTCCCAAGGTGCTGACAAGGAGAATTTGTTAAACAATCAATAGTTCCTTTGGTTGGTGATCATTTCCTTAATTCTCGTGACCTTAATGTGTGATTCAGCCATGATAGTGTAAGGAGAAATTAGATGCTGATCACTCACAGGGGTCGAAGAGTCAACTCCTCTGTCTTGAATTAACCAGTATCCTAGTTTATGTTTTATTTTCTTTCTTTCTTCTCGTTACCTTTCTGGTTTAAAATGAATGGAAATTGTAAGAAGAAATTACCCATTGGTCAGTTCCAGGGTTGAGAGTTAATGTGTAGGTGTGAGGTGATTCAATATGCCTACAGGTGAGTTCTGTCGGCATGCAATAGCCTCAGAAATAAACACGAGACATATGAGTCATCACTGTGGAAATAACAACAGTGATGAGCGATTCATCTCTGACATTTTTTTTAAAAAGCATCATAATACATTTGTAGGGTTATTGCTTATTTTGCGATCGAAAGAGTAGTGACGTGGGATACTTGGCCAGCCAATGTAGACCAGGGTCTTATACATGTGCATTGTAATATCAAGATGAACATTTTCTTTTATACGATTTGTAGAGAAATCGACAGTGTTGGCTGAAATGAACCGCCATCTTGAGCTCTTGGATGGAGAACAGCTGGGAGCAGTTATTACTGACTGTGTTGACTTCTGTAAAAACCAGCTTAGTGGACAGTTTTCTCCCCTTGTTCAAGTTCTACAAGTTACAAATTACAGAATTACAGGTGAGCAGATGCCTGGAGCATAATTTTCTCCGTAATAAAATGGACCTAAGATTGGGAGGAACTTCAAAATCAAAAAGTCCTAAAGATTTAGTTGAAAAAAAAGCAAAACAAACAGGAACGAGGATTTAGATAAGTATAGCAGAGATTGGAATGGACTGCACACAAAATCTTGGAAAATATTACAGTAGTAGAACCTTCAGTTGTCGCTGTGCTTCCTTTCGAATTTTATACCTTTCCTTTCGTCTGCTGCAGCGGTTGGCGTCACTCAAGCATAATCTGAAAGAGAGCCGGACGAATGCTTTGAAAGAGACACCTAATCAAGAAGAAATTTTTTTTTCTTTACAAAGTATAGAGCATAGTCTGCTCTGGGTTATTCTCTCCCGTTCAGTGTCTCAGCAGTTATTGGTTTTGTTATGCAAATTGCAACTATAACTATTTTTGAAGATTTTCTCTTTTCGTTGGTAATTTTGTTCGTCAAAAAAAAAAAAAACTGATTTTAAAACATCATAAACTTGCAAAAATCGCAAAATGGGTGTATTACTTTTTTGTAAAAGGTTTGTAGCCGGAGTAACAATCACTCAAGTAGTGTATTTGGTATTTGTTGTCCGGGAAATGTTTGTGTTGAAGTGGACTGTTCTTGGTGTGGAGTGTGTGGCGTTTCTAAAAACCTGATTCCAATGCTTAATGATTTTCAGTTTTCACTGTCAACAACGAAAGCCATTTTCACCAGCACCCTCACTGAGACGATCACACTTCATCATCAACCCAACACTCGAGTGACAAAATACTTGATTCTCTTTTCTTATGTCACTTTTATCAAATGTCTGTTTGTGTTCTAAAGGTTCCAGTGGTACAGAAGACATTGTCCCTTTGTTGCAAGCCCTTCCGTTTGGTGTCCTTATTTGGCAAGTGCTTGGAGAGGCTATACAAGGTGTAAATAAAACTGCAAATCAGTGTAAGACTTCATCACCAGATATGTCATCCTCTGAGAATAAAACTTCCAGCCCTCTTGACAACTCATGGATCCAGAGCCTGTTAATGAAGGCCTTAGAAAAAGAGCCATTAGAAAAGACCATTCCACTTTACTGCCATGTCCTCATGTATTTGCGTACGCTTAAAGCAAAACTTATCGTGATTCGTACTTCATCTGAACACTTCCTGCTTCACTCTGCTCTGCAACTATGCTTTCAGCTTCTGCAGTGTCTGCTGCAGCGGTTGGCGTCACTCAAGCATAATCTGAAAGAGAGCGGGACGAATGCTTTGAAAGAGACACCTAATCAAGAAGAAATTTATTTTTCTTTTCAAAGTTTAGCCTGGCCGCAACATTCCTGCAAACCTATAAGGCAGGGATACTTTAATATAGACATTTTCCAAACAGTTCTCCATCATCCGGTGATTTTCGAGTGCTTTCTTTGGAAACAGGAACAATCTGGTCAGGTTCTCCGGAACATTGGTGCACAGTGGACATATAATGTGGCTAACTTGTTGCTAACTGTGCTACCAAGTCTGACTGTTCAACAGAAGAGGATTCTGATGGCTCCTTTTTTCAGCAAGATTTGCAAGGAAGGAATGCTTGAAATTGAGTCTGCCAACAACGGAAACGGTAATTAAGAAGTTATGAAACAAATAATTTAGATTATTGGTTACATAAAGGTTTGTGTTTGTCTAAAAATTTCGTTTGTTCGTTGGGTTAGATATAAAAATACCAAGATTGAAAGCACAAACTTAAAAGTGAATGGAAATTATCAAAGATGAAAAAAAATTGACGCGGATTGCAAACGACAAGCTGGAAAAAAATTAATTTTTCAAGATGCACAAATCGTAACGTTGCGTTCTTAAAAGGTTCTTGAAAACAGTGTCCTCACTGACAGCATCTGTGCGTTATGATGAGGGTCTGTTTCAGAGAAGCGTCGGTAGTACACGATTGAAAAAAAAGACAACCAAAAAGAAAACAAAAAATCAAGACGGAAACACATTTCTCCGAGTCTGAGATTTGCATTAGTCCACAAGAAGACCTTTGATAGTGATATTTATACGTATAATGTACTCCGCCATATTTGCAACTTATCAAACATTTTGTCACATCCGCAGTGATATCACCTTCCCAAGCTCTGTACCTTCTTGGTCTTTTCCACGAGTACTGTGACGAAGAAAATCAAGTGAAGTTTATGTCCCGTTTATCTCAACTTCCCTCTGACGTACTGATAACAATTGATGCGGTATCAAGAGAAAAACTCCCATCTGTGTTTCTCACGACTCTGTTGACTTTGCTGAAGGGTGAATCATGTTGTGAAGATCATCTTTCAACTTTGTCATCAGAACGAAATCCATTTAAGACAGAAGAACCTCTTTTATTGTCGCACTTCAAGCAGTTGGTCAAGATTTCAGGGCATGTGAACTGCCCACATCTCGATTACACAATTTTAAAACTTTTGCAAAAGTCTTTGTTATATGTGATGGGTTCATCAGCCACTTTCTTAGACATCTGTCTCGACCAATCCACTAAAGCCAAAGTTGCTATTGCAGCACACCTAGTTACGCACTCTCCATCCCTACGGTCGCATTTTGAATGTCGCTGTTTGGATAAACCGGTGCAGAGGAAGAAGGCCAAAGCACTTGGCAGTACCTCTACAATGATTCCAGTGGCGCTCAAGGATCGTCTGGTGGAGTTTCTCCCCTTAGTGTCATCGTACTTGTTTTGTATACGAGGAATAGGGAGAGAACATTTAGGTAAGGTAAACTTCATTTGTTTGCGATACCCAATGGGGCAATTTCAGTTCGGTGTTGAAAGTAATCTGTGATGGATTGGTCTTGCTTTGCGTAGCTCTGCGACCCAGGATCATTGCCAGTATCTTACCAACTGCCTACTAACCCGCCCCTCCCCTTACCGGACATTAGCTCTAACTTGTTATCAGTTGACTGTTGTTGGGTTAGGGAAGGGGTGCTCTCTGATGTTATCGCATGAACTCGAGGTCTGTTAAGATATATAATTATCAATAACTCAACACTGTTATCTCAGCAAAGTTGTTTCTGTTGTAGGTAATAGAACCCAGGAAGTTGTGTCCCATTTGGTTGAGGTGTATTGGTCACCGTTATGGGAGTGGCTGGTTAGTGATAGGGAAGGAATCTTCAGTGACTCGGAGGTAAATAAAAATAATGCTCTGATGAAGTACTGAGAATTTGGTGGGTTTTAGCTGTGTGTCAAAAAACAAAGACCAAGAACAATTGCCAAGTCACCATCGCTTCAAAACTGAAGAGTATACAATCTTTATGTTAGGGATTAAAATTTCATGAATATTTCTTAGTTGATGAGTTCTGACAGATTCTTTCATTACTGAGGTAAAACCTTTTGTATGAATGCAGATGCTTGCATTACTGTATTTCTTCTTATTATTGTTATTGTAGATGTTCTCACAAAATAGAAAGATTCAATACACAAATTTAACATTCTATTTTCGTTACAGGAATTATGCATGGACGTGCTTCGTGCTCTAACAGTAAACATGCAAGGTTAGTATCCAGCTCGAATGAGTAACGATCAGGATTGAACGCAACTGCCAAAACGACAACTTTTCCTTGTTTCCGCAGCAACTCAACGAAGTAATAAAAAATTAAGGAAATACTCTGAGTCCTCTTGAGGAATGAAACATCGAACCTTGGTCAACCTTTCAATTTTGCGCTCTTCGTTGCTCTCCATTGCTCTTCGTTGATCTTCAAAATGAGAGTTCAAGAGAGCTTAGCAATACTTCATCGACAAATGAATCAATTTCGCGATTTAAATTGATGTTCTTGCCAATTTTTATAATATGCGCTTGCTAGTTACTGTTAGTAACTTTTATGAATTTTGTCATTTCGTTTTGCTTACCCCCTAAAATCGTTTGCGATTTTCGTCGATGCTCTTACGTTCAATCGTGGACATCAAGTGTGCGAGTGTGTACCGTAGCTCAGTGTCTTGTCGTACGCTTATGCCATACAATTACCATTACTGCATTAGCATGCGAAGGTAGCAGCCCACCTGATCTTAGGGGCACTTTTTTTCTTTCAACATTCTGGGTACAAGTTTCAGGCAAATTAATTTTGGTATAAGCAACGCGAGACTCCCGTGTATCTTGACTGAGTGATGTTAAATGTTCTTTTTTGGTTCTTTCCTTAGATAGCAATCTTTTAGAAAAGCTGAACGAACTTTTGATGAGAGCTTCGTTATGGGACAGGTATGGGAAAACTGTTACAGTATTTTTCTTTTTTTTTTTTTTTACCCTTGGCACAACTTTACGCTTTTACAGCATACCATTTGAAATTGTGATGAACATTAAATGACTTTTAGATGGAAACAATGAGATCTTGTTTTGCTTACAAAATAAGTGCAATACTTGAAATTTTTTCAAACTTAAATTGGCTTTAATTTGACATGTAACACTGTCACGTATCCTCCCGTGCTTTCCATTAAGTAAGATTGCAAAATTGATTTCAAGTGAGCCAGCGTAATTTGAATAAAGCTCTTGATACTGTGGTAATTTGGTTTTAACAACTAAGTTAAAATTGTAAATTGGCCACCGTAAAGAGTTAAAAAGCTGACGTTTCGAGCGAACAAGCCCTTTGCCATTTACTCTGACGAAGGGCAAACGCTCGAAACGTCACCTTTTTAACTCTATATGGTAGCCAATTTACATTTACAACTTGTGGATAAAGCCAAATTACCTTGTTACCCCTGAAACTTACCCCCTTTATTCTTGGTACTGTGGTTCGTTTGAAAATGTGCTCGGTGTTTTTGCATTTGTTTGAATTAAAGAATGCCTGATTGACTCGAAGAGTGTTTCACTTTTCAAAACAGTCATGTGAAGTCATCATTCACCTGCAAACGAAAAGTAAAAGGAAAAACGCGGAACGGCTTAATTAGTAGAGTTTAAAGTTTGATTTAATTCCTTCCTAGATACCAGCAGAGAATTTGTCGCCAACTTGTAACAAGCCAGTATTGCAACTTCTCTACCAATGAACATGGAGTGGATATTATTAGCAAATTCTGTTTTGCATGTATGGAATTCTTGTCCATTAATCTTATTAAAACAGGTAAAAAAAACTGTTAATCCTCGTTAATTTTCACATTTTCCAGTTTACCTATCTGCAAATTAGAAGTGAAGGTTTATTAACGTGATGATCATCTGTACAAATTAGATACAAACAGGGACAACGAACAAGTTATTGAGGAATCTCTGGATTCTATGGAATGGATTTGCGAGGTATGTTTTCGTCCAGGGTTTTTAAAGAGAACAAGAACACTAACAAATTATTCGAGGTTAGCAGTATGGATTGTGTGAGAGGGTAACAAAGATAGTTTAAGCCGTAAGTTTGATTTAGCATATGACCCGCCCGGCCCCGCTCGCGCAATCCCACAAAAAACCATGGTGAAAGCTGACGCGTGGAAGACTGGACGAGTTGACGTGAGCCGGTCCAGCCCTGGTGCACTTGTTCTGCGACATTGTTTGCTGATGTTACAAAGAAACAAATGACAGCAGTGAACAAAAAGGATGAATTGTTGATAAACTGATAAAATGCCTAGCGACTGAGTTATGTCGGGCTGTACGGGAAAATATTTGGCTTGAGGTCATGACGCATTTTCCCGTCTGTCCCTCCTACTCATTCAATAAGTACATAATACTTTTCTTGTTGTTTAGAAAGCAGTCCGTATCAGTATCGTGGATGCAGATTGCTCGACAACCTGGACGAACTTTGTAACTAACTCGTTAAGGTAATCCATAAAACAATACTGAAGACGCTATTCTGCATAAATCATAAAGAGTTCAACTGATTTCGCCATATTGCTCTTAGCCTGTTTTATCCAAGTTGTCAAAATAGGTGTGTGACAGGTACATGTATGTGTTGACATTATATTGACAATAAGAGCACTTTACCCCTACCCTCCCCACCCCCCTCCTACACCCCTTAGTTGTTTTCTATGGTTCTCATAACATTCATGGCAAGTTTCCCCCGGCCACAAGGAACATATTGACAGTAAGAGCACTTTACCCCTACCCTCCCCATCCCCCCTCCCACACCCCTTCGTTGTTTTCTGTGGTTCTCATTACATTCATGGCAAGGTTCCCCCAGCCACAAGGAACATCTGGTTATAGAATCCCATTTCAAAAGGATGTACGGAGTGGATGATCTCTTCTTGCGACACGTGGTCGTCGTACCGAAAAAGCGGGCTTTTACTGTCTTATTCCGAGAAATCTGAACAAAATGGCGCAAACGACCAGGAAGACTTCAGT